ATATCTTTCTTCTTAATTGATGCGAGTGCTTCTGCCTCCACCCATTTTGTGAACTAGTCTGTTGCTGCAAGAAAGAACTTTCTGTTGCCGGGTGCTGTTGGAAGTGGTTCTACTATGTCCAAGCCCCACATTGCGAAGGGCCATGGGCTTGTTAAAGGTAGAAGTTCTCTGGCTGGTTGATGTATTTGGTGTACGAACTTCTGACACTTCTCGCACTTCTTGACATATTTTTTTGAATCTGCTTGCATGTAAGGCCACTAATATCCTTGTGAAATTGCTCTGTAGGCCAATGATCTTCCCCCTTGGTGGCTTCCGCATACGCCTTCATATATCTCGAACAAGAATGCTTAGACCTTGCTGGGATGAACACATTTTAGATAAGGTCTTGTGAAGGATTTCTTGTACAAGGCCATAGATGGGGAGAGCCAAAATCGTTGTGACTTTGCTCTTATTTTGTTGGCCTCTTTCTTCTCTTTAGGTAAGATGCCGTCTTTCAAGAACACTATAATGGGATACATCCATGAAGGGCCTAGTTCGGCACAACATACCTCTACTACTTCGGGTTCTTCAATGCTTGGTCTCGGTGGGAAGTTGATTAGTAATGGATGTGGGATGGATGTATCTACCATTGAAGCGAGGCCTGCTAGTTCGTCTGCTCTACTGTTTTCTTCTCGGCCGATCTGCTCTATCCACACTACTTCGAATTTCATGATCTCCTTTCTGACTAACTCTTGGTACTTAGCCATCCTCTCATCCTTTGCCTCGTAGTCGCCTGAATTTGGTTTACTACCAGCTGGGAGTCACTGTAAACCATTAGCTCGGTGGCCTGCATGAAAAGTGCTGATTTTAGGTCTGTTAACAGTGCTTCATACTTCGCATCATTGTTTGATGCTGGGAAGCCAAGGTTGACTGTTTGTTCCACTACTAAGCCGTCTGGTGAGATGAGGACTATGCCAAGTCCTGCACCGTGCCTATTGAATACTCTATCCACGAAAAGTTTTCATATCTCTCCAAAAAATAGCTTTCAGCAAGTGGAGGGGTCGGATGATGTCTTGGGGTCGTGCATGTTGTTTATGTTTTCTTCTAAGTCCCTGGCTACTATTGGGGTTTGTTCTTCACTGTCTGTCTGCCCCCAGTTTTTACTTGCGGATGAATCCTCACTAGGAATGCCATGGTTTATTCCTTCCTTCTGATCCTCAAGCCTGGATGGTTTGCAATGTGGCGGGTGGTGTGAATTCTGCCACAAAGTCTGCCAAAGCTTGGGCTTTTATTGCGGTTCTAGGTTGAAACTTGATATCAAACTGTCCCAATTCCACTGCCCACTTCAAGATTCGCCCAGAAAAGTTCGCCCTCTCAAACAAAGCTTTCAATGAAAAAGCTTTTAATGAAAAAGCTATGAGGATGATTATGGTGTGGGCGTGGAAGTAATGCGACAACTTCCTTGATGCCATAATCAAGGCTAAGGCTAGTTTTTTCAATAGTAAGTACCTGGTTTCAGCACCCAGTAAGGTCTTGCTAACATAAAAGATGGACAGATATTGGATTCCTTTCGACCTGACCAACACCGCGCTAACTGCGTACTGTGAAACTGCCAAGTACAAAAAGAGCTCTTCTCCAGGTATTGGGGTTACTAGCAACGGTGGAGAAGACATGTATTTTTTCAAGCTTTCTAGGGCGCGGTCGCATTCTTCATCCCACTCAAACTTGGCCTTTAATGCTTGGAAAAATGGTCAACATCTGTCTGACGACCGACTTATGAACCGGTTGAGCGCAGCTGCTATGCTAGTGAGATGATGCACTTCTTTTACTGAGTTGGGCCTCTCTAGATCCTGGATTGCTTTGATTTGAGAGGGGTCTACCTCTACACCTCGGTTGGTCACCATGAAGCCTAGGAATTTGCCTGATCCTACGCCGAATGCACACTTGGATGCATTTAGGCGCAACTTGTTCTTCTTTAGTATCTGGAACATTTCACCTAGGTCCCTGAGATGGTCCTTCTTATCCTTACTCTTGACCACCATGTCATCTATGTAAGCCTCCATTGTTCTGCCTAACAATGGTTCAAACATCTTGGTGACCATCCGTTGGAATGTTGCCCCTGCGTTCTTTAAGCCAAAGGGCATGACCTTATAACAATACAGCCCTCTAGGAGTTGTAAAAAATGTGACTTCCTTGTCTGGCTCATACATAGCGATCTGATGGTAACCTCTATACGCATCAAGAAAGCTGAGCCGATTGTGCCCTGCCGTCAGGTCTACTAGTTGGTCTATTCGTGGGAGGGGAAAGCTATCCTTTGGGCATGCCTTGTTGACTGTTTTATAATCCACGCAGACACGCCATTTCCCATTCTTCTTTGGCACCACCACGGTATTAGAGATCCACCTGGGATAGTGCACTTCTCTGATGGCTCCTGCCTCCAGCAAGTTTCCCACTTCTTCTGCCACTATCTCGGCGTGGTGTAACGCTGATCTGCGAGTGCGCTGTATTATTGGTCTGGCAGTTAGGTGGACATTAAGTTGGTGACAGATGAAGTTTGGGTCAATGCCAGACATGTCGTATGGTGTCCAGGCAAACACTTCGATGTTAGAGGTTAAGAACTCCATGACCTCTATTCTCTTAGTGCTGGACAACAACGAGCCGAGCAAAAAGAACTTTTCTGGGTTCTTTCAATCTATCCTTACATGTACCAAATCTTCCACTGCCTTTTGTTCAGCGGCTTTGCCAACATCCGTAAACAATTCATTGTTCTCAAGTTCTTCCACCATCTGCACATACCCTTTGGCAGCGCGGCTGCCATTTACTGTGATGAAGCATTGTTTGGACATAATTTGATCTCCAAAGACCTCTTCAATTGCTCCGGCTTCGTTGGGGAACCGTAATACTTGGTGGTAAGTTGACGCTAATGATCGCATGGCGGGCAACCATGTCCTTCCCAAGATTATGTTGTAAGTGGAAGGGACTTTCAATACCCAAAATTCCACTTGTTTCGTCATGCTTCCTGCTCTGACTGGGAGGATTATCTTGCTTACTGGCCACTCTGGCATTGAGTTGAATCTGATCAGGGGGGATGTTGCAGGTGCCAAGTCTTTGTCCTCCAGTTTCAGTTGTTTGAAGGTTTCGTAATACATTATCTCACATAAGCTCCCTTGGTCAATCAAAATCCGCTTGATGTCGTAATTCTTGACACGGAGAGTGACAGCCGGTGCATCATTCTGAGGGCAATATATCCTTGCCAAGTCTCTGTCCGAAAAGGATATGATATTCGTGGCCTCTGTTCTCCCTTTTTTGATGGTAGGCTGTGCACTTAATACCTCCTTTAAGTGCTCAGCCTTTTTGATCATTCCCCTGAGTTTACATACCTGCTTTGCTTCGAAAACTCCATGTATTACATTAATTACGCCTTGAGGTGGGGCATCGATCGGCATTCCGTTTGGGTTATTGTGGTTCTGGGGGGCTGACTGTGTCCCTTCTTCTATGTACTGGTCCAGATGCCCAGCTGCCACTAACTCCTCCAAATGCTGCCTTAACGGCGTGCAATTTTCAGTGTGGTGCCCCTTTTCATCATGGAAGGTGCACCGAGACCTCTCGTCATAGTCTTTTTGTGCCTCTCCTAATTTTGTTGGCCATCTGACGAAAGGTTCATTGCGTATTTCATTGAGAATTCGGTAGATCAGTTTTTTGAACACCGTGGTAATGGCAGTGCAAACTTTTAACCACCTTTTGTCTGGGTCCTCTCTGTTGTCCCGCCTACCTCGTCCATTCCTGTTTGATCGCTCTATCGTATTGACTTTTACCGTAGTTTTTTTATCTGGCGTTGCTGTTGTGCTAGATTTTGCTTTAGCGCAGGTGCTATCCTCCTCCACCCGAGTATGCTGGTGCACTCTCTCCATCAAGGCCTCCATCGTGAGGGGTGGTGTCATAGTAATTGAGTCCCTCAACTTGTTTCTGACTGGTAGACCCCTTTTGTATTGTGCGATGGCGAGATTGGTGGAGCAATCTTCTATCTGGTTGAAAGTCTCCCAGTAGCGACTGTTGTAGGATCTCAACGTCTCCTTGTCGCCCATGTCAATTAAGAGTAGCTGATCGATCTCCACTGGTGTTTTGGTATTCGTTCTGAACCTAGTCACGAACGCCTCTGCCAATTGCGCCTAGGAGGCTATGCTGCTTTCCGGTAGTCTTTCGAACCAGGTTAAACCTAGGTTGCCAAGGCTGGATGGGAACAAGATACACATCAATGCCTCGTTCCGCCGGTATATTGCCATAACCTGGCGAAAGTGGCTTAGGTGCATGTAGGGGTTTGTTTTTCCCTCGTAAGTCGTAAACTTAGGCTGGTGGAAGCCTGAAGGTAGTGGCGCGTTCTCAATTGCCGGAATGAACGGTGAGCTCTGTAACCTTGCTAATACTTTGTCTGCTGGTTCATAAGCAAGGCGCGGCACAGGCATTCCTACCTTGACGCTTCCATGCGTCCGAGGAGCCAACCGCTGTAGGGCTGAAACCTTGCGCGGGTCGCGTGCCCTGGTATCCTCCTTCCATCATGCCCTTTTTTCAAGCACAGTTCGTAAGTCGGATGATCTAGGCAACTCCGTGTGCCTAGATGACGTCTGGTGCGTGTGCGATGGCTGATAGGTGCTTCCCCCAATATATGACCTCTCAGTTCTCGTTCTCTCAGACCTGGAGTAACAAGTCCTGGACGTCCTTGTTTGAGTGTCGCCTGTTCTAAGGCTCCTACTCTCTGCTTGCGATGGTGTGGTACGCCTATCACGATCCTCCGAGTGGCGAGGGGGCGAGTTGCCTTTGTGCCCCTCTCCTGTCGCCACCCCTTTTCCTTTTATCTAGCGCTTCATCAACTCCATGTCTGCCGCCATTCTCCTTATTAAGTCGTCTTGGTCTTTCACGCAATCCTCTAGAACTTGAGGGTCGATCATCCGCCTTTGTCTTTCAGGACTTTGAGAGCGACGGGGGCTGTTAGTCTCGCACAATGTATGTCAGTTTTTCTTCAAATGAAACAAGGTGGGAATGTTGTTCCTGACGAATATACTTTTCCCTCGTTGCTCAAAGCTTGTTCGAGTGAATTGGCGTTAAAGGAAGGTCAAGTGATTCATGAGTTGATCGTGAGGTACGGTACTGAGCACGATGTTTTTGTTGGGTCGAGTTTGGTTGATATGTATGGAAAGTGTCGAGAGATTGAGTTTGCGCGCAAGGTTTTTGATGGAATGTGTGTGAGAAATGAGGTTTCTCGGACTTCTATGATTGTTGGGTATGTGAATGTAGGTGATTTGATTGAAGCAAAGAAGCTATTTGATGTAATGCCTAAGAGAAATATGGTTTCTTGGAATGCCATGATTAGTGGGTTTGTGAGATTTGGTGATTTGAAGAGTGCTAGGAAGTTGTTTGATGAAATGCCTGAAAGGAATGTGGTTTCGTTCACGGCAATGATTGATGGGTTTGCCAAGGCTGGTGACATGGCTTCAGCAAGGTTTTTGTTTGATCAATCTCTGGCGAAGGACATTGTTTCTTGGTCAGCGTTGATATCTGGGTATGTTCAGAATGGTCAGCCTAACGAGGCTATTGAAATTTTTCTTAAAATGCAGTCGATGAATATTAAACCGGATGAGTTCATAGTGGTTAGCTTGATGTCTGCTTGTTCCCAAATCAGTAGTTTGGAACGGGCTAAATGGGTTGATTCTTATGTGAGCCAAAGCTCACTTGACCTCCATCAAGTTCATGTTCTTGCAGCTCTTATAGACATGAATGCAAAGTGTGGGAATATGGGTGGAGCAACAATGTTATTTGAAAAGATGCCTAAACGGGATTTGATTTGTTTTTGTTCTATGATACAAGGCCTGTCAATTCATGGACATGGTGTTCAGGCAGTTTCCCTCTTTCGTAGGATGATAAATGATGGCATTACTCCAGATGATGTGACTTTTACAGTCATTCTGAATGCTTGTAGTCATGCAGGACTTGTTGAAGAGGGTTGCCGATTTTTTGATTCTATGATAAATGAATACTCTCTAGTTCCTTCAACTTATCATTATGCTTGTATGGTGGATCTTCTTGGCCGGTCTGGAAAGCTAAGAGCAGCTTATGAGCTATTGAAATCAATGCTTGTGGAACCTCATGCTGGTGCTTGGGCACTTCTTGGGGCTTGTAAGCTACATAATGATATTTAATTAGGGGAGGAGATAGCTGCTCAAGTTTTTGAGATTGAGCCTCACAATGCTTGTAGTTATGTGTTGTTGTCAGACATCTATGCAGCAGCAGATCGGTGGCTGGATGTTTCATTTTTAAGGAACCAAATGATGGAAATGGGGGTAAAAAAGAAACCTGGTTGCAGTTTGATATACTCGGCCAAGCCTAGTGTATGGTATCCTTACGAGTCTGTTCAGTGAAGACTGTGATTGGCATGAAGAAGACTTTGGCCTTCTATATTGGGAATCCCATTGGGCAGAGGACCAATTGGGTAATACACAAGTATTGCGCAACCAATAACGAGCTCAACAACACTAAAGTGCGGCCAGGTTTGACTTTTGATCCCCTTCTCTGTCTTCTTTATCCAATTTTACTAATTTCATGTGAGCTTTGTTTATATGTTTGATTCATTGGAATTCAGATTTGTTTACCAATTGAGGTTGATTTGTAATTATTTCATATCATGGCTTGTGGATGATAAAGGCCCATGTGCCTTGAATTATGTTTAATTTGTGTACCTATGGGATGCTATGGGTTTTAATTTTGATTTCTTGATACAAATCACTGATTTTTCTTCCAGAAAGTAGTTTTTTGACTTTTGAGTTGTGAAAGATTCGGGGGTCTCTTTGATGGCTTATGTTATGACCACTCTGCAATTCAGGGAGGACAGTCTATATAAAATTTTCAAGCGCTTTTCACCCTAATTACAATATTAAACAATGATCAAGAGGGACTTGCTAGCATTTCAAAAAAATATAAATAAATAAAAGAATGTTCAAGTTTAATAATATCTTGTTGCTTATTATAAAAAAGATATTCAATGTTGTGATTAATATGTTGTTGAATTCCTGTCTGAGCCACTGCATGTATATATGTTTTAATGGTTTTCTTCTGATTCTAATTTTGGGCATCTACAGGGGTCGGTTGAGTGAGAGCATAAGAGCAGATTTGATGGGAAAATGCATACATGCAGTCACGAAATGCATACAATAATGCTCTGCTCGGTTGCTCAATGAGCTGAAGGATAATCTTAAAGGTGAGTTTTAAATTGCAACAAACAATATGAATTTCTCAATTCTCAAATTAAGTTCATTTACTGTTGAGTAATTCATATTTTGATGTGCATAAAAAATCAAAACATACATATAATGTCAATGGATAAAAGTTCTGAAATCCAAATTTCTTCGCTTTCTAACTGGAAAAAAGCACACTCCTGGAGTCTGAAGTGATCTGCTAAAGTTTCTCACAGTGGAAATATTATGGTTTCTTTCCATATATATGATTATGCAGATATAATGTTGCCAAATTACAAGCGAGCAATTATTTTGTCTTACCAGTTGAGGGAGGAAAAATGAGCCGAAGAATAAGCCTCGGGCCCAGGTCAGCCAGGTTGCCAATGCTTCCACTAGGTCTTACCAACTTGCGCCACATGGCTGGTCAGAGGCCCCAACCTCATAACCTAAGGTACGCAATACACACCCACAAGAACTCTGTACTGTCCTTTCCCTTGGAAAAAAATCTTTGTTAAGTCTCGGAGCGTCCTCCAGCTGGATAGTATTAACAGTGCTTTGTTTTGCAGAAGATAGATCACTTGGCTCATCTTTACATCACAAAGAAGAACGTTATCAACTTAGTGCGGATCTCGTACACAAATTGCGCTCAGTAGTCAAGTGGAAAGTGCTAATCGCACAAAGTGGTTGTGTAAATTAAAGAAGAGTCTAGTTTATACATTCTTGAGCTCAAATTTTTATAGTGTGGCTCAAATTTTTTTGTATTACAATTTAAGCGGGTTTAGTTTCACAGTTTGGATCTCTGCCAGGTTATCATGATTTGTGCAAACTACACTACCCTTGAATTTGCAAAAGTGAATTGCATGACCTCTTGAGATTTAAGAAAAATACAATAAACTCCAACATTATATTGGTTTTCCATTGCATTTTGCATCACCTCCCTTAATGGAGACTTGTGAATTCCTTCCTTTCAATAGAGATTATCAAGGAGAAAATGGAGGACAACATTGCTCATAGAGGTGGCAAACTCAACCTAAAACTGCAACCCATTCAATTATACCCATTTAAAGTGTCCAAATTAATAAATGAATTGTATTCGAAGCCAAGTACTTCGGATCTCTAGATTCGTGGGTCCGAATCCTTTCGAGTCCGAGTGCCTCGGATCTCTAGGCTTGCTTAATACCCTTTCGAGTCCGGGCCCGAGTAAGTCTCTAGGTTCGTGGATCCGAACCCTTTCGAGGCTTAGAGCGATTCAATCCGTTTGATGGCGATAAATCTGGGCCCACCGATTCTTGAACTTGCGATAAATTCGGGCCCACTAATCTTGGGCTATTGGGCCTAAATAATTTAGTGGGCTCAAATTAGCCCCTCTTACAATTGCAAACCCAAATAAAATTATGTTTAAATGAGTTAGATATGGGGATACTAGTTTAGACAAGCACCACCTCCTCGACCACACCATAACTCCACAACCACTCCACCTCCACTACCACGCGCTGGCCCCGGCCCTACCTCCACCTATCGCCACCAACATCACCATCTATTTGGGAATAAAATCAATGAAGTACAAGCGTTGGTCAGGTTCATTTATCCAATTTGTATCCAATTCAACTCAACTTACTTAAATCCGTTATTAATAAGCGGATTTGGATTTGATTGTTTTAAATGCATAATTCTTTTTGAACTGCCTGTTTTCCCCTTCTTATGGCTCATGAAAATATCATCAGGCTGTAATATTACATGCTATTATCATCACTATCAACCCATCATGATCAATTTCAGTAGTAGCAACAAGAAGTTTGACATAAAAAGGGGAATCAATCCAAGCCTGCAATAATAATGACTCACAAACTTTGAACTTTGAACTTTGAACTTTGAAAGAGTGATGCATCATCTACATATTGGCCAAAAATATTTGCAATCAATTAGTAAAAAATATCCGTTAATAAGAATAAACAAGTTTTGATAACAAAAAGCTACTATATACTCCAAAAGATGGAAGAGAAATGTTGGTAGGCGATGTTGCAAGAGGCACCAAGAAGCTGTCTGAGCGTAGCTTTACGGTAGACATGAGAAATCGTTTGCAGAGTAAAGAAAGTTTTCACCGATGTCTGAGGCTGACCAACTCAATATCAAATATAAGAGTCCCCAATGTTGAGCCTTCTCCATTGGCAAGACGTGTTGGATTGAAAATCGTAGTAAACAGCCTTTGCCTATCGAAAAACTGTAGAAGTACACCCTTTTGGCAAGACGTGTTGGATTGAAAATCGTAGTAAACAGCCTTTGCCTATCGAAAAACTGTAGAAGTACACCCTTTCATAAGTGATTCTTTATCCTTAATATTTATATAAATTAGATATAACACTAGTACCAAGAACAAATTAGAAGAACAAAGTCAATTATATAAATACAAGAGTTTACATTAGGTGGTACGGGCTCTTGAGATGTATTTTGATATCCTTGGGATGGTGGGATTATGACTCGACGTATGCCACCTACTTTCATTGATCTTACTGCTGCTTCAATCCCTGATATAACCTGCAACATTCAGACATTAAACATTATGTGTTCCTCAATATGTTCTGTAAATTCTAATGTGTAAAGAGAGAAATACAGAGAATAATGTATCTATATTATTATTGATTGATGTATTACAAGATTGTTGTGTATATTGATATTTTTATCTGTATATTACAAGTCCTATATATAGAGAGGTTTTGGGAGTAGTAGGTGTAGAGTGAGTGGTGGTAGTAGGTAAAGTGGAGGTGGTAGGTGGAGTGGGTGAGGAGTAGTGGAGGTGTGTAGTGGTAGTGGTAGGTTTTAGTGGTGTAGGAGGTGTACATTAACTATTCTAACATTAATCACTCTGTAGCACGACACAATAGCATTGCAGCACCTGCTATGAATGAGGCACAAGGGGCAATGTTTTGAACCTTGCTTTTTGGACAATTATATATATATGTATCTTTTGTCCCGTATCCGTTTATATATTGCAGTATAGAATGCCATTTTTTGTTTATTTTAAATCAACTAGCAAAAATAAAAAGCCACATGGATGTCTTTCAGGGTGTTTTCCATTCATAGGAGGGGAGCTTTGAATGTGATTTGATTTTGATTCTACTTTGAATTCCTACACATTGTCCATTTTACTCTACTCAAAAAATAAAGGCTAAACTAACTCTCAGCATTTCCTATTTTTTTGTATTAACTTTGAAGTGTGCAAATTGCAGGAAGAGAAAAAGGAAATTAAATTACAGAGGGATGCTATCACACCAAAGCAAGATATGGTTGAGGTGCAGTGTCAACTATTATTGACCTTTTTAAATTGATTTTGACATACTCAGCTTTGTTTCTGTTGCAATGTTGCTGACCTCTTCTGAACATTCATAAACAATCATTCATGTCTTTGGACAGAATTGTTAGTAGCAAATCTATAGTGACAAATTCTGTTGTCAAAATGCCATTTGTAACAAATTCATTAACTAATGTATTGAGGATTAATTAGAGAAATTTAGAATGATCTAAACAGGATAAGAGTGATGCTATAACCTTTGTGCATATTGCCAAAGGTGTTAGGTATGTACCCAATCTTTCCCTTCCCAAGCACACATTAATGTGTACTATTGGGCGTTGTGTTTTAAAGTATTTCTTGTATCTGCCAGCTATTAAAACTAACTGATAAATTTGGTTCAGTTAGGTTGTTGAGTTGGGGAAGGATTTATGAGCCTGAGTTGACTAGTAGATTGTAGGCTTATGCTAAAAGTTTGTTATTGTTAAATAATTTAAAAAAAAAAAAAAAAAAA